CAAAAGCCCCTGGAACATACTAGGAGCCAGATCTGGCTATCGTGTTCTGCTCCCAGCCTGGATCGCTGGGAATTGGTGACTCCGAATCCTTAGCCACTAACTGCTGCTCCTTAAACATTCAGGGTTTATTATTTTAAACCATTTTATTTTCCTTTTTTTTCATTTTTTGGGTATGAGTAATGAACACTGCATTTGCAGATGTGCTGAGATTTTAGTGGGGTGCGTTGACAGAATGCAGGTCAGTTAAATTGGTCCAAATTCATGCTATTAGAATATTTTGGGGGAGAGGGAATGGGCTTTCTCCAACCAGTAAAATACCATGAGTGAGAATTATTCTCACTAATAAACTGATGTGCTCAAGTACCAATTTTCTTTGCACTTGCACAGTTTTTACTGCTAAATTAAACTTTTTATTGTTAAATGAAACCGTTGGCTTTAGGTGCTGTTACGTTAAGGAGGAACCAGCAATCATCTTTCTTTTCCTTTTGTGGATCTTGACTCAAGAAATTCATTAAATCTTGTGCTGAAATAAAAAGCACCTTGATTTCATTTTTCAAAGTGAGATAGGAAATGTTCTTTTAATGACCTTTGGGTAAATTAAGAGGCGGTATACTGTTCTTTTAGGCAAGTAATGTGTTTTTCTTCTTTTATGTTCTTAAGAGGCACCAGTGTGAAACAAGAGAGGGATGAGAGATAGTTACACGCACAGAAGGGCCGTAGAACTATGCTGTGGGCCTCCGAATCATCTGAATGTTTTCCATGGAGGAATGTTCAAGCTTAATGAAAATCTGATGCAGATTCATTGCTTTACTTGCTCATTTTTTTTTTTAAAGATTTTTATTTATTTATCTTTAGAGGGAAAGGGAAGGAGAGAGGGAGAGAAACATCAATGTATGGTTGCCTTTCGTGCGTCCCCTGCTGGGAATTGGCCTGCAGGGAACTGGCCTGCAACCCAGGAATGTGCCCTGACTGGGAATTGAACTGCGATTGTCTGGTTCGCAGGTCCGTGCGCAATCCACTGAGCTACACCAGCCAGGGCTACTTGCTCATTTTGAATGTGAGGCCACACAGTCCACATGCTCACTCAACACCCCACTGACTAGTACAGTGAAGTCATCCTTGTTCACACATGCACATTCCAGCCAACTCCCCTTGGCTGCCAGGTTATATCAGTGTGGTGCAAACTGTTCTCATTATATTAACAATGGTTGGACTTTTTCTGGACAGATCTCATACAGTGTTATGTTAAATTATGAGAAATTGCCAATATTTTTCTTTTTTTATTTCCCCAAGATGATTTTCATATGGTACGACCTGATATCAAAAGCATATTAAGTTTTTAAAAATAATGATAATAATAATTGTTGTTCAATTACGATCACATAGTATGGGTGTGATTTACTGACCTAAAGCCAATGAATCAGTATGGCTTGAGTTAGGGCTTCAGAAACTAAATTAAAATCAACCATGAACTGCCCTCAGCAGTTCTGATGAATGGCCAGGTTTGGGAATTCTTGGCTTACACTGTTACTCTGGAGACTTACTGTGTGAAGAGAGGAACATTGATAGCAGGAGTCTAGAGAAGACTTTTGCTTTAGAATGAATCATACCCCATGTCTCATCCATACCAGATTTTGGTGTTATATAGATGGGCCTTTGGACTTTAGAGTTGACGCTGGAATGAGACTTTTGGGGTTACTAAGATGGGATGAGTGTGTTTTCTATGGGAGAAGGACAGGGACTTTGGAGGATAAGTGGTGGAGTGCTATGGACTAAATTGTGTTTTCCCCCAATTCATTTAATTGACGCACTTATTCCTCAAATGATGGCATTTGGAGAATGGACCTTTGCGAGGTAAATAGGTTTAGATGAGGTCATGAGGGTGGGTCATCTTGATGGGATTAGTGCTTTTCTCAGAGGAGACCAGGGAGTGTGTTCTCTCTCCTGCTGCCTGTGAGGGCACAGTGGGTAGGAAGCGGTCTACAAGCCAGGAAGAGAATTCTCATCAGAAAGGGACTGTACTGGTGTCATGATCTTGGACCCCTGTCCTCCGGAACTGTGAGAAGTAATATTCTGTTCCTTAAGCAGCCAGTCTCCAGTACTTTGTTACATGGCAGCCTGAACTGGCTAAGACACCGAGTTCCTCCCTCCAGTCCTCTATGTTGTGGCTGTTACGCATTTCACTTATGTGTAAGCATATATTTGTTCATAAGCATAAGTGATTTAATACTTTGTTGCTCTTATTTTGAACACACTTATTTGTTAGATCAATTAAGATAAAAGAATAAAAGTTTTTACTTTCACTTATTCCTTCAGTGCTATTCTTTCCTTTATGTAGATGGAGTTTCTGAGCTGCATCATTTTCCTTCTCTCTGAAGAACTTCTTTTTAACATTTCTTGCAAGGCAGGTCTACTGGAAGCAAATTCCCTTAATTTTTATTAGCCTGAGTAAGTATCTCTCTCACTTCTGCAAGATACTTTCTCAGGATACAGAATTCTAGGCTGGTGTTTCTTTCCTCAACACTAAATCTTTCATTTCATTCTTCTCTTGATTGCATGCATTCTGAGAATGTGGATTTAATCCTAATCTTTGTTCCTTGATGGGTAAGGTGTTTTTTCCTCTGGCTTCTATCAAGATGTTTTTATCTTTGGTTTTCTGCAGTTTGAATATGATAAATCGCCATAGGGGTGTTTTGCATTTATCCTGCTTGGTGTTCTCTGGGCTTCCAGGATCTATGGTTCGGTGTCTGACAATAATTTGGAGGAACATTCAGTCATTATTGCTTTAAATATTTTCTCTGTTTCCTTTTTACTTTTGTATATTGCCATTATGCATAATTATACCTTTTGTGTTTGTCCCATAGTTCTTAGATACTTTGTTCTTGGTTTTTTCATTCTTTCTTTTTTTTCCTTTTCAGTTTGGAAGTTTCTATTGAAATATTCTCAAGCACAGAGATTCTTTTTTTCTCATCTGTGTCTAGTGTAATAGTGAGCCCATTAAAGACAATCTTCATTTCTGTTACAGTATTTTTTATCTCTAACATTTGAATGTGTTTTAAGATTTCCATCTGTGCTTATAATACCCATCTGTTCTTGGATTGTTGTCTACTTTGTTTGTTAGAGCCCTTAGCATATTAACCATAGGTGTTTTAAATTCCTGGCCTGATAATTCCACATCCTGCCATATTTGACTGGTTCTCATGCTTGCAGTTTCTACAGTCTTTTGCCTTTTGGTATGCCTTACAATTTTTTTCCTGATAGTGGGATGTAGTGTACTAGGTACAAGGAGCTGCAGTACACAGTCCTTCAGTGATGTGAGGTGTGTTCTCTCATCCTGTCATTAGCCTCATCCCTTCAGTCAGCCTGTGCCCTTGGACTGTGCACCTCACAGGTGCTTCTCAGGTGTCCCTGGGGTCCCCCAACTTCCCCAGGTTGACAGGACAGGACAGTGAGTAGTAGCAGGATTTGGTTGTTTCCCTTCCCCCATGTCATCTGGGCTCTGATAATACCCTAATAGAATAGGTTCTGGTAAAATAGTTTCTCTTGAGGGCAGGTCTTAATAAGAAGAGAACAGTGCTCTGGTGTATTTCAAAACTATTGCTTTCCCACTCCCTCTGCAGAAGGACTAGGGGACTCTCCTCTCATAGTCACTTTGAGAACGTGGTAGAACTGTTAGAGTTGAAACTTGGTAAGTGTGAGCCAGCGAAATAGCTGTGTTGCCCTGGAGTTTTAAAACTCAGACTTGTGCACACTGAGCCTCCAGCAATTTGTCAGTTACAGCACAGGTTTTGCAACCCCACCTGCCCTCCTCCGACTCTGGTTCCAGCAGAGGTTTCTTCTCTGATTTCCCCATAAGTTTCTGGTCACGGGTTTCTATTCTGGTAAGTTTTACTCTCTATATCCAGCCTGTCTGTTTCTCCCATTTTGAGGGCAGCAGGTTGCTCTGTGACCCCTGTTCTCTGATGGATCTAAGAAGAGTTGTTGATTTTCTAGTCTACTCAGCTTTTTCTTGTTTGAAAGAGTGTGAGCTTCCAAGCTCCTTATGTACCAAACCAGAAGCTGTAAGTCTCCTTTATTCACCTTTGCTTCCCAAAGAACTTAATTCTGCCTGTTTAATCTTTTTTATAACTTGTTCTAAATTTTTCCGCCTGCATGCTCTTACTGAGGCTGGTATAACTTGTTCATTTGCTGGATATCTGTATCTGAACTCATACTGTCTCCTCCTCCTTCACTAAACTGAATCCTGTTTTAAATAAAGCCCCTTCCCTGAGCTGAACTTGGGCTACTAGAAGAGTATGTACCAATAAGGTACCATTCTGATATTGGTCACATGTATTTTTTGGGGGGGGGGGCGTGGAGGAGATCATTTTATATTGCCTTGGGTGTGAAGAATTTAGTTAATGTCAGTTTCCTACTTAAGTTGTTAGGACTTATTAAACTGTAATCGTTTCACTATTTTGTAAGCTCCATGGGGTCAAGAACCTTCCATTATATATTGTTCTTTTCGTAGTGCTTGCCGCAAAAGTGCTTGTTAAATGTGGGATGGTGGACATCATTTATAATGTTAGGGTATAGAAATCCCTAATTTGATAACCTGGGTATATATTATTTCTTAAAGTGTACCTATCTTATTTCAAAGTTTATATTTTAGAGTATTAGGCAGTAAATATTTTTGACATGTTAATACAGTATCCACCCCAGGTCTTACATGCATGTTTCATACATGTTGTGGGTGGATGCAGAGAGCGATGCGTGCTGCTTATGGAGTTGTGGTGTCTTAAGGACTTGTGATGATTATTATTTAATGTGTTTCTCTCTCCTAAAACTGTTATTTAATCACATTTGCAAATGTTCGTAGGTAGAGGTACTAGAATTTTCAGATTATGATGATATACCTTAGATAATGACAATATTCTAGAATTTAAGTCAGATTTTGTTAGAGGTCAGATTCCTGTATTATTAATATAGCTTATTAATTTGTTGCATTTATATTTTTGCAGACTGTTCTCTCTGTATAAGAAAATTTTTGTCCTATAAAACACAGTGTCCAACTTGTCGTGTGGTGAGTTTTTCCTTTTTCTTGTTTTAAAAAACTTACTGGTTGGTGCAAATATTTCTTCTTCATATGTATACAAACATCCAAGGGAACATGTGTAACTATTGACTTAAGCCGCATAAAAGACATTTGCAGAAGGAGCTCTAAAACACATATGCAGGGAACTGGGCTTTATTCAAGGTTTTATGGGGATTTCTGATGACCTAAATGTATTTTAGGAGGTAAAAACTAACTTCAAGTTCAGAATGTAGCACTCAAATCTTAAGACCTGTGTTTTTATGGCTGTTCATTTTTTCTAATTTCTCACATTGGGTAGAAAATCTGATGGGAGGGTTATTTATTTGCAGACGACCGGTGTAAGTATTTGTGCAGAAAACGGATTTGTGTCCATTGGGCTGCATCCAGCCTGACTGGGCCCTTGTTTCTTTCCCAGAACAGACCTTCAGGGACAGCACTGGGCACTTTGTTCGTTTCTGAAGCTGTTCAAGTAGTGGAAATAGATGAAAGGACAGCTTAAGAGGGAAAGTGAACATAAGTAAAGAAGGAAGTAAAAGAGGCAGTAGGGTCTCCCTGAAAGGACACCTGGACCAGATTAAGGGTCTGGTTCTCCTAGGGTGATGCCTCTGGTAGGTACAAAGTGTCAGAATTCCTCTGCGCTATCATGTAAAAACCCTATGTAAGAAACGATAGTTTGTTTCTCAAGTCTAAACTCTTACAGTTTAAGGCACACTGTCTTTGTCAAGAGGACATCATCATGGAGATAAAGTGTATACCATTTATGCTAAATAGCCACTGGTTTTACCTTTTTCCCTGTTGTATTCCTGAAAACCAATCTTGTTTTTAAGCTCCCTTTGGACTTCTGGTGTTTCTCCCAGTGTTACCACTTAAAAAAGCATCTCTTTTGTTCCGCAAGAGAAATTTTTGGTAATGCTGAGTGCTGGCATTCTTGCTCATATTAGGTTTTATCTTAGTACGGAGTATATATGATTTTACCATGTGCTTTGGGGACCTTTTATCAGATTTCCAGTTGGCTGGTTCTGATGAATTGTTTTTAAATACCGTATTAGTATGAGATAAAATGAACTTTATTTTGAGGCTTTCCTGGAAGACTAAATGGGATGGAAAAGTCTCAGGAGGATGGGTCACACATTTTCAAAAACAAGATTATGACAAGTAAATGATTGTCTCTGACCTTCCCCATCTGGTGTTTTTCTTTTCTAGGCAGTCACAGAGCCAGACCTGAAAAATAACCGCGTGTTAGATGAACTGGTAAAAAGCTTGAATTTTGCACGGTATGATTTGGAGACTAACTTTAACTGCTTTTGCCATTTACATGTGTCCTTCTTTATTCTGCACTTTTGGGGATTAGAGAATGCGGGTTTGCATATTCGGGGTAAAGAAGGGGAGCACAGCAGTTACTAATCATGCATGGACAGTTACAGTGGCAGTGGGATTTTCTCCCTTTACTTAACAGAAATCCACCCATTATGAAACACAACAGTTAAAATGCAGATTTGAGCACTTACTTTTGGGTACTACAAGGATACCCCAGCTTCATTTTTTAGTTTGCCTGTCCCAGCCTTAGAGTTTCCCAACTCTTGGGAAAATGATTCCTTTTATTGGAGAATGGTATTTGGAAATCGGGATCTGGAGTGGGCTGTGCTCATTGTTACTGGGGTACCATTGCTTCCAGAGCAGGGAGCATACGCGTGTATTCTTACGTGTATACTAATCCACATCTACAGATGCATCTGTAATTGTTTCTGTGTCCGTTACATATTAACCCAGTCATTCTTAATCTGATTTACTTAGCATGTGTAAAATGATGTGCCATGTGAAATATTAGTAGATACTTTATTAACTCAGAAGTGTAGCTTTACTTCCTAACTGTCAAATGCATGATGGTGAAGGTGAGTTTGATCACCCAAAGGGATATAAATATAAAAAGGCATGTTTTACTAAACGGTATCTTGAATTATTTTTAGATTTAATTATGCAAGTCAAGCAGGAAGGTTTTTTTTTTAAAGATTTTATTTATCTTTAGAGGGGAAGGGAAGGAGAGAGGGAGAGAAATATCATTGTGTGGTTGCCTCTTGTGTGTCCCCTGCAGGGAACCGGCCTGCAACCCAGGCATGTGCCCTGACTGGGAATGGAACCTCAATCCTTTGGTTCTCAGGCCCGCGCTCAATCCACTGAGCTATGCCAGCCAGGGCAAGCAGGAATTTTTAGTAGGAATGTACTGTGTTTAGTTAATGGTTAGGTGCCTAAGTACTTAAGTGTATGACTTCTAGGTTTCTTGGAGCCTTCTTGGAAGTATATTACATTGCTTCTAAAAATGTAAAGAGATTTCTTCCAAGAGAATTGAGCATTTATTGATCCTAAAAAATGACCAAATTTGAGTATGCTGAACTTACCTAATATGACATTCTGGAAATTGGCTAGTTAGTTATTTCCCTAAGCAAAGTCATAAAAATGGGGTATGTTTTCTTAGATTAAGAAACTCTGAGATTCTCTGATTCTCATCATTAAAGTTACTGCTTTTATTACAGTCTTTTACCAGTGAGTCTTTCAGTCAGATTTTGAAGTCTGTGAGAAGAGGTGGAGTCATGTCCTTGGAAAGAAACTTTTGAGACAGTGTCTGAAGGCTTGTGTTTTTTCTTTGGGTGGTACTGAAAACATAACAGCATCCCTGCTAGGAACATGGGGGTGTCACAAAGAACAGCATCTGCTCGTGGGAGAAAGTTATCAATATCTTTGTGTTCACAGGACTTTCTGTAATTTACAAGGAGGCCTTGGAATGACTGAACTCCCCCTCCCTCCCTTCTTCCCAAAAGGAACAGGCTATTTGATTGTTCATCACAGTGGGTGTGGTTTAGCGGGAAGTGTTCTCTCTAGATTGCGAGGGGGGGTGGATTTATCATTCGTTTATCCTTTCGTTTGCCTTCTCTGCATTGCCTTGTGGTGAGCATTCCTTGGACGCTTGTTATATCAAAAGTGCTGTGGTATCTTATTTGCAAAATTACTGATGAAATTGAAGCTAGTCAGCTTCATTACTTGTTTGCAATCTGGTTTAAGATTCATGAGGGAAGAGGTTTAATTTCATGGCAGAAAGTGAGATGTTTATATGGTTTGTGGATTTTGTTTCTTTCTGTCTTTCCATTGCCATTTTATGACATGATTATTTAAAATTTAATATTCTAAGTGGAGTAACCAAATGGTATTGGAAACAGTCCTGGAGGTTTTCAGACACAGGCTCACATGCATGTGTTACATTTTCTTCTGACTTTTGTCTTATTTCCAAAGAACAAGTGTTTTGTTTTCCTCAAGTCAGCTCTATTTAAAGTCATGTTCTTAAGAAACTGTTGTGTTGAACAAAATTTAATTAAAATGTGTTTGTCTTAGTGGAACGTCATTCTTGGGCTAAGAAAATACTGTTTCTGTAGTTTTGCACAGCAGCCAGTCTACATCTGTGTCATTATTTTTATGAATTGAGTGTGTAGAGCATACTTCAGTACTTTGTTTATTCACCATCGGGGTATGAATTTTTCTCCATGTATTTACTCCACGTGTAAGAATTTAAACATCTTAGATGATAATTGTAATAGATAATTCCCATAGCATCTCACAAGAGTTTGTAGAGTACAGTTTCACCTTATGCTGTAGTTTAAAGCTACCGGCTTCAGATTCGGGCACCACTAGGTCTCTGTCTTGGCCCCGTTGCTTCTGATGTCACTGTGATCGGGACACTAAGCCTCTTTGGCTGCCGTTCCCCATCTGAAGAATGGGAACGATGCTTTGTTCCCATTTTGATACTTTGAGGGATTTTTGTAAGGATTAAAATGAAGAGTTACACTAAAAGATACCCAATACCTGGAATAAAGGAACCTACAAAACAGTCTCTAAATATCATTATCATATACATTTACCTATATTGTGCTGTCCTATTTTAAGTTGATGCCCTAAGGTGCTAATAAGAATTTGTGCTTTGGTGGGCCTCTGCCAGTGTAACCAAGTGGTCCTAAATTGCTGTCTACGTGTTTCAGATCAGAATACGCTCTTGCAGGGAGTTTTACTAGTTACTGAAGTCCATGGACTTGATTGCAGGGATTTTAGGGCTGCCCTTGTCCGCCCACAGACTTTTTGACTCTTGACTCCTAGCTGCATTCTGAAGAGGTAGGTTATCGTGTAGTTAACAAATGGGCAAGACTTGATCATCTAAAGTCCATAATTCATCCCCCCACTAAGAAAAATCTGCATGTTTATGATAGATGCCATTAGTCATTGTAATACCAACTCACTTTAATATATGTATATTTGTAGGACTGATGAAAATTATAGGAAAAATGACCAAATCCAGTATCATTTAGAAGTACTATTTTTACACAGCTCATTTTTAAAAATTTTATTTAGTTATTTTTCAAGTACAGTTTTTTGTCTATTTCTCCCATCCCAGCCCCCCCCCCCCCCCCCGTCTCTCCACCTCCCTCCCAATTCCTCTCCTGCCCTCCCAGTCCTCATCCCTGTGTCTTTCATACTTGTTCCTCAAAATCCCTCCCCATTTTTCCCCTTAAATTCCCTTCCCTCTCCCCTCTGGTCGCTGCCCACTTGTTCTCTATTTCAGTGTCTTTGTTTTTATTCTGTTTGCTTGTTTGTTTTGTTGTTTAGCTTCCTGTTAAAGGTGAGATCATATGGTATTTGTCCTTCAATGCCTGGCCTATTTCACTCAGCATAATGCTTTCCAGTTCCATCCATGTTGTTGCAAAGGGTAGTAGCTCCTTCTTTCTCTCTGCTGCATAGAATTCCATTGTGTATATGTACCACAATTTTTTGATCCATTCATATACTGGCGGGCACCTAGGTTGCTTCCAGCTCTTGGCTATTGTAAATTGTGCTGCTATGAACATTGGGGTGCATAGGTTCTTTGATATTGATGTTTTAGGATTCTTGGGATATAATCCTAGCAGTGGAATTGCTGGGTCAAAAGGCAGGTCGATTTTTATTTTTCTGAGAAAATTCCATACTGTTTTCCATAATGGTTGTACCAGTCTGCAATCCCACTAACAGTGAACTAGGGTCCCCTTTTCCCCACAACCTCTCCAACATTTGTTGTTTGTTGTTTTGTTTATGATAGCCATCCTGATTGGTGTAAAGTGGTATCTCATTGTGGTTTTAATTTGCATCTCTCTGATAGCTAATGATATTGAGCATCTCTTTATGTGTCTCTGGATATTCTGTATGTCCTCTTTGGAGAAGTGTCTGTTCAAGTCCTTTTCCCATTTTTTAATTGGGTTAGATGTCTTCCTAGAGTGGAGTCATGTAAGTTCTTTGTATATTTTGGAGATAAACCTTTGTCTGAGGTATCATTGGCAAATATGTTTTCCCATACAGTTGGTTGTCTTTTTAATTTAATACTGTTTTCTTTAGCCATGCAGAAGCTTTTTATTTTGATGAGATCCCATTTGTTTATTCTTTCCTTTATATTCCTTGCTCTAGGGGACATATTGGTAAAAATGTTGCTGCGTGAAATATCTGAGATTTTCTTGCCAATGTTCTCCTCTAGGACTTTAATGGTGTCACGGCTTATATTTAAGTCTTTTATCCACCTTGAATTTATTTTGGTGTATGGTGTAAGTTGGTGCTCAAGTTTCATTTTTTTGCACATTGCTGTCCAGTTCTCCCAACACCATTTGTTGAAGAGGCTATCTTTACTCCATTTTATGTTACTGCCCCCTTTGTCAAATATTAATTGACTGTAGAGAGTTGGGTTGATTTCTGGGCTCTCTGTTCTGTTCCATTGGTCTGTGTGCCTGTTTTTATGCCAGTACCAGGCTGTTTTGATTACAGTGGTTTTGTAATACAGTTTGATATCAGGTATTGTGATCCCTCCTACTTTGTTCTTCTTTCTCAAAAGAGCAGCTGCTATTTGGGCTCGTTTATGATTCCATATAAATTTTTGAAGTGTTTGTTCTATGTCTGTGAAATATGCCATTGGTACTTTAATAGGTATTGCATTGAATCTGTAAATTGCTTTGGGTAATATGGACATTTTGATGATGTAAATTATTCCAGTCCATGAACAAGGTATATGTTTCCATTTGTTTGTGTCTTCCCTGATTTCTTTCTTCAGTGCTGTGTAGTTTTCTGCATATAGGTCTTTTACCTCCTTGGTTGGGTTTATTCCCAGATATTTTATTTTTCCTTTTGCTATATCGAATGGGATTTTTTCCTTGATTTCTGCTTCTGCTGATTCATTGTTCGTATACAAAAATGCCTTTGATTTCTGGATATTGAC